AGTTGGCTTAATAAAATTTAGAGTTATTTAATTATTTAGCAATTTTTTTGTTAGAAAAATTTTGTACGAGTGATAGATGGGGAGAGAGGGTCACTTTTAATTTTTATTTTATTTTATACATATATATTTATTTAATAGAGAATCTGTTTTGTTAAAAATTTACAGCCCTTTATTTTCATGGATAGGCATTAATCTATCTAATTCCAACTCAATAAATGGCACTCTTTAGTTAATCCTACAATAAATAGCATAGATAAGTCAGGTTTAAATTACTTATTTTCAGTTCACTAATACCACTAACCATGCTTTTTTATTATTTAAATCATAGTTCAATGAATACATATGTAATATTTTCCATCATAGTGTTTGTTATAAGAGAATAATCACTTAAATTTTTAGGAAGAGAATTAATTTATTATTTTTGATCTCTCTTATATACAATTTTACTTCATATCGATACTGCTGTACTGTGTATATATGTATGTATATACAACATAATACATTATCAGTTATGCAAAAAGGCCTTGCATACGATAAACTCTACCACCGATACTTACATTGTATTACCCACACATTATTGTTTCTTACAATAGTTATTCGTAAAGTTTGCTTTTAAAAGTAACTTATACAAGACTCCACATACAATACCCCTGCATGCATACAATACCCCGTACATAATACCCTCACATACAATACCCTCCTATATAGTGTATCCCCTAAAATAGTACTCAGTTCCTAACACAGTACCCCCAGGTACTAATCAATTTAAAAAACAATATTCTTGAATAAGACCCCGAGTACTTTATGCAGTGCTCTACAGTAAGTTTATTTTATTAGATATAAAAAATTATTCGATTAATAATAATATATATCTAACTCTTATTAATTTATATATTATAAGTTTAAACATTATTTGCAATTAGAAAGTGAAAGTGTTTTTGAAAACACTACAATTAATAAATATATGTTAGTATTTAATGAACCTGGTTTAAAAAAAAAAGAAATAGAATGAAAAATATACAAGTTGCAACCGATATAGTATATCAGAGAATTGGTGTTAGGCATGTAACCCTTAAAAAACAATGTTAAAGATATTGATGATTGTATTAAAGAATTAATTTAAAGCTACAGAATATTAGAACCTAGTTGAATAGATTCCTTTTAATAGATTAGATAATATTCAAAATATTGGTAATAAGTTTAGATAGAAAACAATTTGTGAATAGAGATAGATGAAAAAATAAATATACATAGTTACATATATCATTATATAAGGTAGAGTTTAAAATATTAGCTAATTTACAAAATTTATTAGATATTTTAAAAGAGGTAAAATGATATTATATGATTTTATTATACTTGGATTATTTAATAATAAAGCTATAGATTCAACTTTTATTATATGCATATAATAAATATTTTTAGTTTAAATATCATTTGCAATTAGAAAATGAAAGCATCTTTGGATTCACTCAAAACATGACTACAAATAATTATATGTTAGTATTAGATGAATTTGGTTTTGAAAGAGATAAATTATAAAAATTGTACAAATTGCAACTAATATAATACATTATTCACTTGGTGTCAAACATGTGATTCTCAGAAAACAATACAAGGATGAACAAGTAGAAATAAGAATATCAATGATTGTATTAAAGAATTTCAACTTAAAGCTACATCATATGAAGATATGATCAAGTGGATTCCTTTTTATAGATTAGATAATAGTCAAAAGATTGGTAATAAGTTTTCAACAACCTGGTTAGATGGAAAATATTGTGTTAATGAGAATAAATACATACAGTTATGTATATTATTATATAAAGTGGAGCTAAAATATTGGCTAGTTCACAATATTTATTAAATATTTTAAAAGAGGTAAGACGATATTATTTAACTTATTATACATGGATTATTTAATCTATATATTATAAATATTTTTTAATTTAAAAATCATTTGCAATTAGAAAATAAAAATATCTTTGGATTAACTCAAAACACTACAACCAATGAATATATGTTAGTATTTGATGAATTGGTTCTAAAAAATTTGAGTGGAAAGGAAAATGCAAATTGCAACCAATATAATACATCAAAAGCTTGGTGTCTATCATATAACCCTCAGAAAATAACATATGGATGGACAAGTGAAAATAAAGAAATTGATAATTGTATTAAAGAACTTCAACTTAAAGCCACAGAATATGAAAATGTTATCAAGTGGATTCCTTTTAATAAATTGGATTGTATTTAAACAATTGGTAATAGACATTTAGCAATGTGGTTAGATGGAATACAATGCGTATATAGAAGTGGATGGGAATATACACAGTTACGTATACCATCATATACCGTGGAGCTTAAAACATTGGCTAGTTCACAAAATTTATTAAATATTTTAAAAGAGGTAAGATGATATTATATAATTTTATTATATGTTAATTAATTGGTAAAGTGATATGCCTAACTTCTATTAATGTATATAATTATACAGTATAAGTTTAAAGATCATTTGCAATTAGAAAGTAAAAGTATCTTTGGATTAACTCAAAATACCACAACCAATGAATATATATTAGTGTTTGATGAATTTGGTTCTAAAAGATTTGGGTAGAATGGAAAATATGCAAATTGCAATCGATACAACACATCAAAAGCTTGGTGTCAAACATGTGGCCCTTAGAAAATGACATACAGATAGACAAGTAGAAATAAAGGTTTTGAGAAACCGCAAGAATAAAAAGTACTTTAACCTGTATAAAAAATCAAAAAAATTTTTTTATTAAATTGACTAAGCCACAATAACGATCACCCAAAATTGGGTTTGTCCACCATGCTAGATTTTTGCTATTCGCACCATGGTTTATGTAAATCTTTTCAATTTTATCACATAATTATTTATAACCTTTCCATTAACTTTTTCCGTAATGGATAATGAATATCTTTTTCAATTTGCTGATTAACTTTTTGATTTTCTTTTTCTAATTCTTTATTCAACTCCACTCCATTAATTTACTGTTTAAATCCCGAATATCTATTTTCTTTTCATTATACTCCTCTAACAAGCGGCGAAATTTTTCCTCCCACTCTTGGACGCTAAATCACCACCTTTGGTGGCGGTCTAAATTATTCTTTATCCTATTTTTCTTAACTCAAATCCCCACTTCGGGATATTTTTCAGGGTCAATCGCCATAACTTCTTTTCTAATTTGAAAAAAGTCAAAATTGCGAAAATCATATTTATCCACCTTAATTGCCTCCTCACTGGCTCCTTCTACTTTTCCAGCTTCCACTTTCGTTGTCTTTTCTTCCTCCTCTTTCTCCACTTCACCTGAAAAATCAAAAGTAAAACAATGACCTAAACGGAGACACCAATTCACAAAGGCCAAATCTTTTTTTTGCTTCTCCTTCTCCTCTCCTGTCTTATATCACTGCGAACTCAATATTAAACGCAATGATTTAGCTTCTGTAAAGAACTCTCTTCTTTCCTTTTCACTCTTTTTGGAACTTAAACAATAACAAACTTTTTAAACTTTAATTGAAGATATCTCAGCAACTAATCGATCAAATTTGATCAAAATATTTTTATTCAAATTCTATGGATTTTTAGAATTTAAATAAAAAAATTTTCATCAAATTTGATTGATTAGTTTCTGAGATATCTTTGATCAAAGTTTGAGTAAAATTTTAAAACGTATGTCACATAAAAACTGTGCTGAAATTGTTTACAAAACTTTGATCGAAGTTATCTTGAAAACCAATCGATCAAATTTGATGAAAATTTTTTTATTTGAATTCTAATAATCCATAGAATTCGAATAAAAAAATTTGATCAAATTTGATCGATTAGTTGCCAAGATATCTTCGATCAAAGTTTTGTAAACAATTTCGACATAGTTTTTATATACGTTTTAAAATTTTACTCAAACTTTGATCGAAGATATCTCGGAAACCAATTGATCAAATTCGAAGAAATTTTTTTTATTTGAATTCTACAAACCCATAGAATTTGAATAAAAAAAATTGATTGAATTTGATTGATTGGTTGCCAAGATATCTTTGATCAAAGTTTTGTAAACAATTTTGACACAGTTTTTATGTACATACGTTTTAAAATTTTACTCAAACTTTGATCAAAGATATCTTGGAAACCAGTCAATCAAATTTGATGAAAATTTTTTTATTTAAATTTTACAAATCCATAGAATTCAAATAAAAAAAATTGATCAAATTTGATTGATTGGTTGCCGAAATATCTTTGATCAAAGAGTTGTAAACAATTTTGGCATAGTTTTTATGTGATATACATTTTAAAATTTTACTCAAATGTTAATCGAAGATATCTTAGAAATTAATCAATCAATCAAATTTGATGAAAATTTTTTTATTTGAATTCTACAAATCAATAGAATTCGAATAAAAAAAGTTTTGATCGAATTTGAGCAATTGGTTGCCAAGATATCTTCGATCAAAGCTTTGTAAACAATTTCGGCGCAGTTTTTATGTGACATACGTTTTAAAATTTTACTCAAACTTTGATCGAAGATATCTCGGAAAATAATCAATCAAATTTTATGAAAATTTTTTTATTTGAATTCTACAAATCCATAGAATTCGAATAAAAAAAAATTGATTGAATTTGATCGATTAGTTGCTGAGATATCTTCGATCAAATTTTAAAAATTTTGTAAATAATTATGTGATAAAATTGAAAGGATTTACATAAACCTGCGAATAGTAAAAATCCATGGTGCGAATAGTAGTTCCCTTTCTTTATATCAATTAATTAATCGGAATACCCTGACACTGTTTGATTATTTAACAACTAATTGTATAAAAAACCACCCAAATTATTATTAATCGCCGAAAATTGAAAAATAACACTTGTTGATTGAGGACTTATACCTAGCTAATGTTGCAAAATTTAATGTGTTAATTTTTAAGAACTCAAAATGATTTAAGATATTGTCTTGAAAATTTTCAATGCAATAGTTTAATTTTAAAATATTTTTTTATAACATCGAATTCAACTTTTAAGTTGATTTAAAATTTTGTTTAAACTTAAATATATTTACAATCTATTTAAATTTAGTGACATTCTATTTTGACGTACAACACACCTTTGAGCGGCTTCATAATCTGTTTCAAGGAATATAAAATATATATCTAGAATCCAATCGTAATAATTGTAGAATATTTGTAATTAGCATATTTGAAATAAGTAGAGGCTGAAAAATTGAATTGGTAATTAGGAATATTAAACAAAATGTCCAACATTTCGAGAAAAATAAAATATTCTGTTTAAGTGTGATACAGTAGATAGTTTAAAGTAAAAATAAAATTAATCATATGAATAATGCATTGAAACTTTATTAAAAATGAATCTAGATTTTAAATAGATTCCAAAGGGCTACTTTCTAAGCTTCGTTCAGCTTTGTGACCAAATTTTTGCACCATAAAATAAATAACTAATTTTAAGTACAATACATTGGTTAAATTAGTGTTGTTGTGAGATTAATGCGTAGCATTGTGTGTCTGGACTATAGACTTTTTTTTTGTTATACTAAAGCAAATATAACCACGTGATGGCAAACATGCATTTTAAAGTTGCGTTTTTGATACGATAATAAAAAAAATAACTATTGATGTATCGATAACGCACCTTTCTTATCACCATGACTAATATTAAACATTTTAAGTTGATCGATTTGAAATTATTAGAGCTATATGAGTAGTAATCATATTCCAATTTCATGGGTCAAACTTATCAAAATCGCGAAAGAAATTACTCTTGGACTAATTTATTTACATAACAAAGATATTACTCGAGATCTAAGCTTCTAAAATAAATTCCTACATTGAAATATTTATAAATTTATAATTTAATTCTTTTTTTTTTTTTTTTTATAAAATTTTTAGCATTCTAAAAATATTCTTATAAATGATGGTAAGGCTTTAATTGAAGACTTTGGTGTATCAAAACAATTAAATGATTCCAATAGCACAAATACAACTATGGCAGGTATACCGGCATACACTGAACCAAAATATATAAAAGGAAATTCTGCTACTCTTGATAAAATATTAGACATTTATAGTCTAGGAGTATTACTCTGGAAATTACAAGTGGAGTTCTCCATCCTCTAATTGCCATATTCCCAAAAATAAAGAGAAAAAGGTTATTGTTAATATATCAACTGATTATTCGAGTCTTTACAGCATATGTAGGTTTTCTGATCCAAACCAGCGCCCAACATTAGATAAAACTGAAACAGAAATTGAAAAGTTATCAATAACAATCACTGAAATATTTATTAAAAAATGATATTGTTAAACATTTATAAATAGACTACAATTGAAGATGAACAATCTATAATTATAATTGAAGATGAAAAGACCACAGTTGAAATAAGCTGACTACAACTATAGAATCAAGTGTAGTTAATAATTCTAATAACAATAATAAACGTATTTCATTTAGAGAAGACATTATTAGTTTCTTTTCAATTTATAACAGTCTAAACTTTTACTGATACAATATTTCATTCGTTTAACACCTAAGTGAGCATAATTTTTTAGTATATTCATTAAAATTTATCTTCTGACATTATTGAGCAATTATCATTAATATTCTAATAATATGTAACTTTAAATATAAGTGATTTAGAATCCACGAATAATTCTTTAATATGCTTTCTTGAGGATATTATCAAAGAAAATAGTATCAATCTATGTAACTATAATGAATTCTCTGACTTGCAAAAGATGAAGAAATATATAGTCAAACAACAAGAGCATATTGGAAGAATCGTGTGTTAACAGTTGCATTAAAAAGTCTAAAAATTGAAAACAAGGGTGCTATCAGGAAATTTGACAGAGAGGTATATAATTATTAAAATCCCTATTCTTACAAAATTCATAAAATTGAAGGTTAAATTATTGCTTAATACACTCTACCATCCAAATATTAATCAATTCTATGGATTTGCTAAAAATCATGATCATAATCGTTATTTTTTGATCCTAAAATATGCTAATAATTGTATCTTGCGACAACTTTGAAATTTCAAGAGTCTCGTACATTTAAGATTTATTATTAAATTTTTATTAAAGAATTGTAATAATAATATTGGGTTATTTTATAGGTTATTTATCAATTATTGAAAAAAATTTTTTATAGCATCCTAGGAATGTCATGGTTCATGATGGAAAATGATGTTGGCTGATTTTGGTAACTTCTAAATCAATGTTAACGACTATTACACCCGCTACAGTACATGAAGCATCAGCTTACGTAGATCCAAAATTACACATACGTTCGTGTTGAGAAATCAGATATTGATAATTTTGATGTAATTTTATGGGAATTTTTAAGTGGAATGCACCTTTTAAATCATTAAATGGAAAAGATGAAATAGCTTTTCGAATATTTAGGGGAGAAAGAGAGAAGCCAGTAAAAAATGCCTCGGAACCCTACGTCCAATCATATACATGTTGTTGGGACGATGATCCTAATAAACGACCGTATACTAAAGAATTAAAAGAAAAACCTGAAACGTTAGTAACCTAATTCGATCATAAAGTGACCCTAATTTACAATGTAGCATAATTAAACAAGAACATTTTGAAATCATTTCTAAATGGGTTTATAAATCATCTAGAAAGTTTCCTACAATTAGTCTATTAAAATTCTTTAGACCTAAAAATCCTTTAATTACAAGTTATTAATTATGGGTAGTCGAGATGGTTTAATCCAACTAACTTTCATAGTAAATGTGATAATAAAGGTCGAAGGAATTTAGGTGGATATGGATATAATCCAAAAAGTTGGAAATCACATCAAAAGAAAATTATTAGCAAATACGTAATAGTTTTATTTTTAATTTGAACATTGATAAACATGAACAATCAATAATTTGTAAACCAATACGTTCAGGAAATTATGGACCTGATTGAGGTGATTTACGTATACTTAAAGATCGTGAATGTAAATGTCGTAGATTATATTTTGAAAAACCAATTAGGAAAATTAAAGAAAATTTTCAATAGATGAATATGAAGTTTCAAATTTTTAAAAATCGTCCTAAATCATTTAGTAATATCAATATTAAATAATTATTTGATGTTATAGAAGGGTAGAAAACTGGTAATGTATTTTATTAATACAAAAAGAATGCTTGGGATTTTGATTTCAGTCCTTGATAACTGACTTCCAAATATTAATAATGATACCTATTTCTTTTAGTCCAGACCATTAAACTGCAGCTATAGTGTAATCTTTTTTTATACATGACCTATTAGTAAAAAAAACCATATATTATATATTTTACTATAATATTTACATGGCTTAATTAAATAAAATATTTATCACAGTTGTCGTTTATGATTCTTGTCAATTCAGAATTAACATACATCATTTTGAATTTCCACGATCAATGAGTGACATATTTCACTTATTGATGTTTATGTTCAGCGAATTATGTCGATTATCAATTGAAGTATATAAATTTTCATAACTTGCCGACCCATTTTTTTCAATTTTTCAAATAAAAAAAAAATTTAAAGTCCCGATTATTCTATTATTTTTCTATAAATTTATCCGATACTGACAACCAGTGTCCTTAATTTTCAATAGAAAAAAAAAACTAAAAATTTGACCGCTGACATAATTTTATGATTCCCATGTTATGCAAATTGCAAAATAACTGTGAATGAACTTAAATGTGTACATGAGTCTATTATCTTAACAGTAAATTAGTAAAAAATCTAACCTGCACTTTGCGTTGATATCATATGTAAATCAAAACTATGTAGTACAATATAAAAATGTATTATTTAAAATTTTTATATGGATCTCAATTTTTATTTATGTATATAATTCTTCACGAAATTTTAAATAGATGTATAGCATTAGCGGCTTTATAGTTTAGGATAAAATTTTGTAAAAACCAATATTATGTCTTACAAACAAAGTTACAGTGCAATTTCTTTTCTTTAATCATAAAATATTTCTTTAAACTACTTCCTAAAATGGATTTGAATTAGTTTTTTCTATATATAAATGAAAGAAATAGCTCTGTAACTTTGCTTGTAGGGACATAATATTAGTCTTTACAAAATTTTACTCGAAACAATCGAGCTGTTAAGGCTATACATCTATTTAAATTCGTGAAGAATTATAGCACATAAATAAAATTAAGATCCATATAAAATTTTTAAATAATAAATTTTTATAGTATACTTTACATAGTTTTGATTTACATAGTTTACATAGGGTATCGACCACTCTAACTTTGCGTGGCCTAATACAAATTCACATTTACTTTTATTCAATAAAGATAAATTTATTTAATTATTAACAAAATCTGAAAAAATAAAGATATAAACATAAATCAAAGTTAAAAAATATAAAATATAAAATGTTAACTACTGCTAAAAACCCATTAAAAGATATTATAACAAAATATCTTAAGCCAAGTTATTATAATAAATATAAAATTTAATAATAATAAAAAGAACAATATTAAATATGTCACTCTTCATGAGCATTTTAAAAATCTCACTTTGCCGGTGCACAAGCAATTATAAGTTTGTATTTTAAAATTAGTCTAATTTCCAATTCCCAGATGATTTTTTGCTTGTCATTAATTTGAAAAGTAGATTTGTAACGTTAAATTATTTGGCATATACCATTTTTGCTTTTAAAACAAAGTTTTATTTTCGCAAACAAAGGTATTTCTACATCACATTGCAACTCAGTTTCTTTGACAACTTTTTCTTCTAATTTTGCTATTTTTTCCTTTATTCTATTGATCTCCTCAAAAGAATTCGAATTTTGTAAGATTTTTTCTAACTCATACTTCATTTTCATGTAGTTACAAACTTTTACATAAAGTTGATCCCAAGTTTTTAGATAAGGTTTATAATTTCCATTAAATCTCTCTATATGATTTAGTAAAATATTTCTTGATTCTTTCCTGTCTTCTTTATTTAAACGTGAACGTAGTTCACAGTCAATATTAATCGGAGGAGCATCGATATGAATAATTCCATTGCATGAATTTATTATTTCAGCAAGAACCTTATTTTCATCCATTATTTCTTGACGATCAGTTTTAACCCTATCTGGATACCTAAAGTTAGTAAAATTGGTTCTTATTATTGTAGTATGTTTGATAATATTACTTTCGAAAATAACTGTTTTTAGTAACTCAAAAGTATCAATCTCTTCTTTAGTGAATCTTCTTCCTACAACAAAAAAAACTTGATTTATCCCTTCTTTCATAGTAAAGACAGCTTCAGCTATTCTTAGTATGACTTGTTTCTTAGGTAATTTAGTGTCACCCACTCCTATTGTATCAACCACTCGATATAATTTTCCATTATGCGTAAACATCTCGTCTTCGAAGTACCTAGTCACACTAACTGATTTGTCACTTTCTTTAAATCTATTTGTATTACTCAATACATTTGCAAGTGTTGATTTACCATTGCCGGTACGTCCTACTATTAGCAAGTTATTAATTTCCAGTTGGTCTTCTGATTCATAATTTTCTACTGATTTTTTACGTGAAATTTTCATCGATTTTTCTTTCTTATATTTCTTAAAATCTCCTTTAAAAGGTCTAAGTTTCTCTTTAATTCTTGCTACTTTGGCTCCGGGCCGATTAGCATCAAAAAAGAATTTTTCTAAGCTATTCGGTAAATGCCTTAAGCCTTTACTAATATCAGTGTTAGAAATGTCCAAAACCTTTAAATGCGTCAAATTTTTTAGAGGTCTTAGAGTGCCATGAAAACGATTATAAGAACCTTGTTCTAGTTTTAGTCTATCATCTGTTCCAATATATAATTCTTCTAAATTATAGAAGTCGTAAAAATGATTCAAATTAATTTCATCAATATTATTGTTCATCATATTTAAATATGTTAGTTTTTCAGGATTAATAATATCTCTAGGTTGATTTAGAAATTTAGTAAGACTATTATTTGCTACAATTATTCGCCCTAGTACATAACAATCGCTTACATCTAATTTAGTTATATCATTATTAGACAAATCCATTTCTATGATATTATTAAAATGATCCAAAGACAATTCGCCACTTAATCTTTTAGCTTTAGTCTCATCATCTATCTCTATTACTCTAATCTCATCCCTTTCTTCTTTTGGATAAGTTCGATCTAACCATCTTTGGGCGTTATCCATATTTTTTTGTTTTAGTTATTGTAATTATATGATATTTAGTCAGAGAGAAATTTTATCGCTTGAAAAAACCACTTCCTATCTACTTAACAAATAAAAGGTTATCTATACTATTCCAAGCTTTAAATAACCTCCCGATAAGCAAATAGGTTATTATCTCAAGTAAGAAATTATGCGAAGAAACTAAGGAATGTACAGCCGAGAGAAAAGTTTAGATACACTGATTATGTTAGAGGGTGCAGTGAACATAAATTTTATATAACTTTTATTGTATGTGTTTGCAATTGAGGCAGGGATCCAGGGAAGTGATTGTTGTGGCCAGGAAAATCCCCAAAGAACCAAAGACAAATGCTAGTATCAATTGGCAATAACTATCCTAATTCTTTACAACTGATGTTTATATAGCAAAATTTGCTAAGATTGTAAAATATAAACCAGTTTGTTGACAACTGCGATGAAATTTTAATCGGTTTTTTTAGATTCACAAAATTGCATCTGGGCCCATTCTCATCCTATGATGTACACATAAAATTGATAAACAAATCACATGTACCACTAAGCATGAAATGTTTAATCTTTGATTATTATTAAAATGGAAATAAACAAAGGAGTAGCCACTAAAAACTTTTATTGTACGTACGTACGTACGTATTTTAAATTGCCTAATATGCGTTCTTATTTGAGATACAGTATCTACACTTATTAAGGATACATTGCTACCATCTAATTGGTAAAGTTCAGACACAAGGCGTCAATTTAATCAGGATGGTAAACGAGTATTAGAGACAAGAAGTAATAAAGATATACGAATTGGTCATACAAGCACTCAGCAACTATATACGTAATTCAATAAGAGATGATATGTATAAATCAACAATACAATAATACGTATATCAATCAAGTAATATAATTATGAAATATAATATATTTAGAAATTCTCTCAGAGAACTTTAAAAAGGAAGGATGTGCTCAAAAACAACCTGAATACGTGTACAAGAAAGGTTTTGGCTGCTTAGAATTCTCTTGATACATTCATCGGATCAACTTCCATCCGTTTATTACAAATCTTATTTCCATCAAACCTCCTTAACTAAAATAAAAATTCATCATAACTACTTCTTTAGTAGCTTTTCATTAGGCTAGCAGATTTTCGATAATGAGTGTTGCCTAGTGCTAACACGAGTAATACCCATGTTTCCAAAGGACATATCAACTGGATTTCTTAGTTGAGCGTATCATGGAGTAAAAAAAACTGGTGAGCTATCAATCTATCCGGTTCATAGATATTGAGCGATTTATACCCCACTCTACTTCAGTACGGTAAATATATATGGTAATGTGTATAGGTTATAAATTTGGTCAATATGTGATACCGAAATAAAGGAGGAAGCAGTGTAACTATTAACTCGGAAAGCAATGATAAGGTCTCCGTTTAACTCTAGTAGTTACTAATAAATGAGCTTAACGGCGACTTATAAGAATGTCGTATCGAGACAGTAAGACTTTGAAGAAGAATAACCGTTGACGTATGGAAAATGGAAGGCAATGCTATAGATTATATTAAAAGGAAATGCGTATAAAAGATAGGTTGTTTGCAACAAAGATAATAGAACTTTTATTTTTATAAAATAACAATCACATGGACAAGACGAAGCAACTAAATGAGGTAAAGAGCTCTAATTAAAAAAATAAGAGATAAGCATTTTGATTTCTATTGTATAAACTAGCGTCAAAGGTCCCTTCCGCACTACACTTACGTACTTCCTTTTACTTATATAGGAAAATTGAGAGTGTCTCTACCTTTATTACATTTTTAAATTAATATACAGCATGTTAGCGTGCTGCTTAGCACGATACCATGCTATCCAGCATGTTGACATGCTAACAAAGAGATTATTTTTAATCCCATAGCGTTGACGTGTTATCATATACTAAATAAAGAGCAATCTATAAACAAATTTGGGATAACCTTAAATTACGAATTTGTGACAGTAGCACGTGCGGTTTAAGAGTTTAATGATGATCAAAGTTTTACGATCTGATTACAGTAGTTCAGAGAAGTTAAGGGAAATTTAATCCTTAATTCCATTAAATTTTAGGGAGCAACATCTCATTCCCCGACGATCATTCACTACAAGCCATTTTCTCGATATTACTCCATATAAATATAGGTTTATATTGGATAAATTTATTTAAAGTTAATAATAACAATTTTTTAAAATTTAACCTTTAAAAAACTGTAAAAAATTCAATACATTACACTAAATTTAGTAACAAAAATTAGCAGGGATGAAATATACTATTAAGAATTTAAATTGAAAAGGATAAATATATAGCACCACTTATTAACAGAAATTTGCAGAGATGGATAGTACTGACTATTAAAAATTATTACTAGAATAGAACTGGGTTAAAATGATAAATATATAGTATTCATTTCTGTTAAAGTTAGCTGAAGAAAAAAAAACAATAAAATATTAATGTCAATACAAAAAAAAAAAATAGATCAAACAAAATTATATTATACAGAAATAACTATTACTAAATAAATAAAATTGTTGTTTAACTGGTGATAATTACTGTATTATTAGTTATGTTTAGTTTGATTCTTTGTTAGACATAGTATATTAAAAATTATTTTATACAATTGCACAATCTGTTAATTGTATAGATGTTAGCAATCTAAAATTTAATCAAAACTAAATTAATTAAAATTATACAGTCTATAGTCATCACCTATATAATCACACCCTTTATAAGTATTATTTTTTTAAAAAATTATTGGTAATATAACATTACAATTGAAATTTTATAATCATCTCCTATATAATTACACCCTTTATAAGTATCATTTTTTTAAAAAAAAACTATTAGTAATATATTTATTAAAAAACTTAATATAGTCAAACCTCTTTATAGTCACCTTCTAAATTAGTACATTTTTTTCATAAGCATATTTTTTAAAAAAACAAACTATTATTAAATATACAGTCAAACCTCTCTATAATCACACACTTGGAATACAAAAATGTGTGATTGTAGTGAAGTGTGACAGTTATAGAGGCCAAATTTATTATATTTAATAATGCAGTATAATAACATTACAATTAAAATTTTATAATCATATCTATTTTATATAAAACAAACAGTATAATTATAGAAGACAAATTTATACAGTTAAAAATTCTATTAATAAATCAAATTTTTAAACTTTTAGCAAATGTTTTTTAAACTTATTTGATTAAGTTTAGTTAATTTTTTATTTTAATTTAATAATTTATAGAATTAAAATAAAAGTTTATAAAGTTTGGTTTAGTAGTAATAAAGAAATCATTAATAAAATTAATCAAATTTGAATTGCTAGTTTTTAAAAAAATATTTATTAAAAGATAAAAAATTATTGTAGTTGTAGCTTCTTCTTTAAAGATATCAAAACATTAAATAAAAATTTTTTAATACCTACTTCAATATTTGGTCAAATTCAATTAATTTTTAATTTTTATTTTATATATAGAATTAAAATAAACTAGTGTTTTTATGAATCTAAATTGAACTTTGGCCAAGTTCAGATTTAGGTTTAATTTAGTTTGTTCAATATTAAACTTTTAAGTCAAGTTTATGTTTAGTTCAGGTTCAGTATTAAACTTTTAAATCAGGTTTATATTTAGTTTATGTTCAGTTCAAGGTTCATGAATATATTTAGATTCAATAGTAGTTCAGCAACAAAATATAGTAAAATTTTTTCTATTGTCTTTAGAATTTTCAAATTTGAATTTTTTTAAAAAAATCTTTTTATTTACTAAGTGAATCTATTTTTAACTTCTAAGAAAAGTTGTAGAGAGGTGTTTTGTAATTAGAATAGCAGTTAAAGCAATAAAATTAGTCTATGGATTATAAAATATAAGTATTTTAGTTTTTGCGACTACAGTCAAACCTCTCTATAATCACACACGTGGGATACAAAAATGTGTGATTGTAGAGAAGTGTGATAGTTATAGAG